AAATTTAAAGAAATTTCGGAGAAAGTATCAATATCGGTAGAAACATTGCAAAAATATTATGGAAACTGGGAATGTATATTTTAACACTTAAGGTGCGTTTAAAACTCGTTCTAAAATAATTTATTGTGTTTTGTATGAAAATGAAAATAAAAACGTTTTTAATCTCAGACAGAAATCATTTTTGAAAATGCGTTTGGTAATTTTATTAAGACATTATTTTTAATATAAAAAACACATTAATGTCCCTCTCTCTACTTGAGAGAGGAGAAAACAAAAATAAAAAATGAAAAAAGTCATTTTTTATTGCTATCTCATTTTACACTAAACTAAAAAATTATTTTCATTTCTATTTCTTATCTTTAATTGTGCCAAACACCGTTTTAAAATTATTTTCATCTTTTTTTTTCTTGAAAAACGTATTTTAATCTCAGACAGAAATTATTTTTGAAAATGCGTTTGGTAATTTTATTAAGACATTATTTTTAATATAAAAAACACATTAATGTCCCTCTCTCTGCTTGAGAGAGGAGAAAATAAAAATAAAAAATAAAAAAAGTCATTTTTTATTGCTATCTCATTTTACACTAAACTAAAAAATCGTTTCCATTTCTATTTCTTATCTTTAATTGTGCCAAACACCGTTTTAAAATTGTTTTCATCTTTTCTTTCTTAAAAAACGTGAAAAATAAAAATAAGAATAATTCTAAACATAGCATTAATATTTCTTTTTGCTATCTTAGAATGTGATAAATATAAAAAAAGATACATAAATAATAATGTTGGTACAAAAACAATATACCAGGACCTCTACACTGTTGATATTTAAAATATAAAATTTCCCGAAAGTTTGTGAAGTTCTTCGATATTTCCGAAATTTCAGAGCTTTTAAGGTCACAAAATGTCTTTTGGATGTAAAAAAAAATTTCTCTCAAAATTTTTGGTAAATTTAGGTAAATATCGAAGAAATTCTTTTGCACTTAAAAATAATTCGAGAACTTAGATTTACGGAAATTTCGATGGAAATTTCAGTAATAACAGATAAAATCCTTAGAATAAGAAGCTAAAGAGAAAGGATACTACTGATCACGCGATGCATTACAAAGACAACAAAACAAAGTTCCAACATCAAACATATACATTACATACTTGGAGAACTCCTCTTCCCCAGAGATGACGAGATACGCAGCTGAAAGAAACGAAATGGCGAGAATCGGAGCAGAGAACACCAGGAACAAGCTTCCTGCAGTTTCGCAGCATAAACTTTTCAGATTATATCAGTAAGCAGATAACAGTTAACTTGAGATTTTATAAAAAAAAATGATCATAATAAAAAAAGGAGTATAGCTCAAACGCAAACCTGTAATTCCGAAAACAGTTCCACCAGTTGCTTCTAACAATCTTCTGACAAATTTACTGGTGAATTCTGCTGGAAACAGAAAAGTAAGAGCAACCCAAAAGATGAAAATCACCCAGATTACAACTCTGAGTATCAGTTTTGCCAGTGATGCGGCAAAAGACGCCTGCTTAACAGATTCAGGTTCCACACTTGGACTCAACAGAAGAGGCTTATGAACAGTATTTTCATCCATGGCCAAAAAAAAGATCAAACAATTCAAAACGCTTTTTTCCCTTTTTGGTTCAAAGTATTAGCTTAACCTCTGTCCCCTCCTCACTGAACCCAACTACAGAAATGCCAATTATATGACGAAACATTCATGTAAAAAACCCCCATATTTGTGGAGCCCATTTGCATTTTAGTCATATATTTTCTAGAATTTCACTGTCACAAAACAACTTTTCAACTTACAAAGAAAAATCTCTTCCACAAAAATAAAACTACCAACAGTAATTAGCCTTGTCCAACCAAAAGGACACTGACATGGCTTTGGCTTTATTAAAACACAACTGACAATTTCCCAGGAATCTTTACAAGTAATCCCCAACATGAATTGACAAAAGGGCCAATATTTATCACTGAAGTACAATCTGCTCAAAGAAATCTGACAAATAAAGACCACAAGCGATATTATCACCTCCAAAAAAAAAAAAGAAAAACAGTATAACCAATAGAATAAAAAAGAAAATTTGTGGGAGCAGAAAGAGACAATGGAATAATAATAACTAGGAATTAGCCAAGTTATAGAGCCCACAAATAGAATTATCTGATGGGTCTGGCACGGCATTGCATTTAAGAGGAAAATGGTGAAGATTAAAAGGATTTATGAACCAGAAAACGAAATACATATCACCTCGTTGGCCCGTTCAATTAGGGGTGTGTGTGGAGTTAAATTAGCCACTCGATTTTTTTTTTTTCCCCCCTCTCTCCATCTTTTTTCTGCTGCTAAGAAATCCCAATCGTCACTGAGAAAATGAGATTTGTGGGGTTTTTTTTTTTGTTTTTCTTTTTTGATAGGGACACCTTTTTCTTCTTCCTTCATTCATTATTATGAGTGACAGTAACGAAAGCAGAAATGCGACTTCCCACACACTTCTTTGCATTTCTTTTCCTTTCTTTTCTTTTCTTAACTGCCAAACAAGCAGAAATTACAGCAATAAGGAGGGACCTGAGGGAGACCGTTAGAGTTATCTTCTAAGAAAAGATAACCGTCTTAACGACCACAGAGGGGATTACGTTCATGCAATATAAGTTATTTATTATTATTATTATAATTATTATTATTTGCTCTGAAGTTATTTTTTAATTTGAAGTACTTTATTCAATTTTTCATCTCTACAATAATTCCACGGCGTGTAAAAATAATAGTTTTCGGGCTGATTTTTAATATAATATCAAAAAAATAGCTGATTTTTAATAAATGTGCGAAATTTTATAAAATTAGGGAAATTACCATTTACAGGTGATAAATTATACTAAATTAACGGTAAATTAGTTTATCATTGATATATATTTTTCGAAGTAGATTTGATTGTATATTATTGATTGACTTGCTAGACAAATATGAGTGTTGGTACCGATTTAAGTCTTTTTACTGAGTTCGTTGTTTAATATGTTGCAATAAATATGAGATATACGTGAAATAGTAAAAAGACACAGAAGATTGGTATCGCAGTATAAACAATCCACTAATAACTCAAGATTACAACTCAATTTGACTTATACTATCTAAGACTCCATCTCGAGGTAAGACGTTTGTGAATTATAATTTTTTAAAGAATTTGTTCAGCGAGCACCACTCGACTTATAAACTTGAAATCCCATCGACAAAGTTTTTCCCCCGAAAAACAAAATCCCTTCTCTTGAAGAAATAAGAAAAATTACAAATGCTCACAAAAATCTCTCACTCTGTAAAACTCGGGCTCAAAGGACGTGTTGAGATTAATGTGAAACTTTAATTAAATTGGTGAAATAATACAATTGACAAATTTTTCAAAGTAATCCGCTGAGTACAGTTCATTGTAGATTTTGTTGCAACAAACACTGCAACAGAGCTGTAAGACCTAATCCGAATGTCAACTTCTTTGATTCTTGAAATCTTTTCACATAAGATAAAGTGAATCTGGACGCATTTCTCAAAAACATAGATGGTTAGAACAAGTCAGCATGATCTCCTTTGCAAATCAACCATTCCATCTATTTTTAACTTATAAGATACTCAAAAGTTGATTTTAATAAAATCAAATCAATTTGATTAATTCTAAATAGTTTTTAAATAAATTGAGCTTTCTCAAAAGGATATTAACAGCTATCATTCCATCTTCAATCAGATCAATCACCAAACACATGCCTAAAATAACGCCAACAATTAAAACACCAATCAAATCCGAACAAAAAATCAAATCAAATCACAACAATGAGTAAATGGATAATTTTTTTTTTTCAAGAACGTGGATAAACTGATTTCAGTCGGATTTATCAACCATATAAATTATTAGTATCAATGATTGACCATAGCGGTCATTTCCCTTGAAAAAAATGCCATGGCTAAAATCGTCATCCAAGCAATTTTCCCTATCTTTTATATAGAAAAAGGAGAAAAGTTAGGATGAATATATTCTTGATAATGTTGTTTCTTTAAAATATAATTTTAAACATTTCAAAAAAAAAACTTGAATTTCCATATCTTCTTTTGAACATACTAGGACTGAGCAATTGAAGTGAAGACCTTAGGTCTAATCATTGCATTTGAAAGCAGCGGTTGATCAACATGGGTGTGAACAAAGCACCATTCCGTCAATTCGTAAATCCACAATATCAATAACGTTCTTTCAAAATACTGTAGCAGCAGTCGGAACTCGAGCTTTTAGGCCCCGTTCATTTTATCGATTCAAGTTTTGTTACAGTAAAATGCTCTCAGAAACAGTTACATCTAACTTTTTTGCTATAGTAAAAAGCTCTCACATAAAGTCGCATATCAATTTGAGTTAAAAATTTGAATCAGCGAACTAAGTAGTTCGTTGATTTGAGTTTTTAATTTAAATTAAGTTATAATTTTATATGAGAACTTTTTACTGTAACAAAAAAGTTTAGATGTTATTTTTTGTGAGAGCGTTTAACTGTAATAAAATTGAAATTAAAAACTCAAATCGGTGAAATGAACGAGATCTTTATTTATTAAGTTAGTTATGTTTTCTTTTTCTTCTTTTTTTGTTGTTGTGAATTTTAGGATTGGAAATTTAAAACCACTTCTTAAGATAGAATTGGGTTAGATGCGACTTATGTTCATCTTTCATGTCTTTGAATAATGTTATTTCACGTCAATTAAAACATGATCTTAATTAAAATTTAATGTCACGTCAATTAAAAAGTCATCATACTTAAAATATTTAAATTGGTGCGGCATGATTTTTTTTTTTGAGAAATCATGATCTTATTAAGGAATACAAAAGATGACAGAAAAAGGAAACATGTGAGCCCGTTCCAATTAGATTTGATAGCAATACGCCATACCTACAACCAATTAGGGTTTGTTATGTTTTCAAAATGTTTTGCAAAAAGTACTTAAAGGTATTTTTGTATCACTCTTTTTTATCCAAAAAGTGAATGAAATTGAAACAAAATTTTCAAATCTAAAACATATTTTTGTAGTTTGCAAATGAGTAAATTGCACCATTATATTCTAAACTGTTTGTTTATTTTTAAAATTTTTTTTTTTTTTTTTTTTTTTTTTTTTTTTTTTTACATTTAACTTTCAGTTTTGGAAAAGTATACCATGAAGTTTAAAATGAGCAGACTTGAGGTCAAAGATGTTATCAAATTGACAGTTTAAAGCGTGAGATTTGCACATGAAAAATAAAAAAATCATCATTTTTTAAATTATATCACGTGCAAATCTCATGTTCTAAATTGTGAATTTGATAATGTAATCATCGATCATCTTCAATTATTATTGATTTTAAGTTTGTAGTGCATTTTGTCAAAATTAAAAGTTTGAGGTCTTTTATGTAAAATATAAATAATTGAGGTGGAACAATACAATTTACTCTTAGGAAAAGTAGAGTGATGAGTTGAGAAAAATTAGAACTAGTAAGAATTGTATTGTTATGGTTACTAACCCTCCTAAAATATTGTACGTCTTTTTCTGTGATTATGGTTTTTTTTTTTTTTTCTTTTTTTTTCCATCAACACGCTTATATTTTTTGTAATACAATAAGTTCGTCTTATACTTTTAATTTTGGTAATTATTGTTTTTTTCATCAACATATACTTTCATTCACATAAAAAAAAAGGTAATTTATCTCCTAAGTTTGTAAGTTTTTTTGTGAAATTTTTAAGTTTTTTTTTGTAAGTTTCACGAAGAGATTGAAACTATAAGGGAATAGATTGAAAATTTCACCTAAAACCAAGCGAAAGAAACGAATCAGAGTGGGGAAGAAAATAAAAAAAGTGAGAGGCAGAGAAGAAGAACAGATCGAGAGAACACCGAGACATAGGGCTTCAGGCGTGAAATGGCCAAAAACTCCAGGCCAGAAACAAACCAAACGGCAAAAGACCAGTGGCAAAACAGTACATCAACAGCCCACCGCGTAAGAAGACCAAAAAACCCCGCTTAGAAACGGAAGGAACATAAAAAATAGGGCAAAACCGTCACTACACTGTACAAAAAACAGTGAACTGAGTGTGATGAACAACCGTTCATTTCGCCGATTTGAGTTTAGAATTCGAGTTTTGCTACAGTAAAAAGTTTTTAAAAATAGTCACATCTAACTTTTTTGTTACAGTAAAAAGCTCTCACACAAAATCACATCTCAACTCGAATTACAAACTCGAATAAGCGAAATGAACGGGAACATCTCCTCTCCTTTGGTATATGTATTAACATGGTAAAGATACGTTTGATTGATGAATTTAGAATAATTCTGGATTTATGTGTGTTTTTTACGAGAAAAAATACTATAACAAATAACGAATTATGATTTAAACTATCTCATAAATTTGTAAATTAAATACACATTAAAAAAGTATTTAATATAAAAATTCGTATAATAATTTAAATCATAATTCTAAAAACACTCGTAAATAAGAAATAATTATGAATTATTATTATAAATATGTGAACCAAGGTCCACTAAATCTCAGTAAAAGCGACAAAGAATCATTTCCTTCCTCACCTCAAACTGTCAAAGCGATGAAAACAGGCATGACCAAATGAGAGTTTCGGACGTCGTCTCCTTGCTAAAGCAATGCTCTTCCTTCAAACACATTCGTCAAACTCACGGCGTTTTGATTCCCAGAGGTCTTCGAAACGACAACCTAATCCTTGCCCACTTCATCCAGTCTTGCTCCTCTCTCGGCTACTCCAGCTACGCCTACCTGGTCTTCACCCACCACAACAAACGACACAACATTTACCTTTTCAACACCATGATCAACGTCGTTTCACCTTCAGAGGCCGTCTCTCTTTACAACAAGCTTCTTCTCACCGGTTTACGACCGGACACATACACGTTCCCTTTCGTTTTGAAGGCCGTGATTAAGCTCTCCGCAGTTGAAGTTGGTCGACAGATTCATTGTCAAGCTTTACGAACTGGGTTGGACTCGGATGTTAATGCGGTCACTGCCCTCGTCCGGATGTACTCGTGTTGTGGGTCCATTTTGGATTCCCGGAGGATGTTTGATGAAATGAGCTTCTGGGATGTTGCGCTTTGGAATGCCATGGTGGCGGGTTATGCCAAAGCGGGCGATGTCGATAATGCTCGGAAGGTGTTTGAACAAATGCCTGAGCGGAATTTGATTTCTTGGACTTCGGTTATTGCTGGGTATGCTCAGATGAAACGGCCAGAAGAGGCTATTTTACTTTTTAAAAGAATGCTGCTTGAGAATGTGGAGCCCGATGAAGTCGCTATCTTGGCGCTGCTCTCTGCTTGTGCACATTTGGGTTCATTGCGGTTAGGGGAAAGGATCCATAACTATATCCAAAAACGTGGATTTTCGAGAAAGCTTCGTCTTAACAATGCATTAATTGACATGTATGTGAAATCGGGAAGCATAAGAAAGGCCCTAAATGTTTTCGAAAGTATGAAAGAAAGAAGCGTTGTAACTTGGACAACCATGCTTGCTGGGCTAGCACTTCATGGTCTTGGAAGAGAAGCCAGTGTAATGTTTTCTCGAATGGAAAGTGCTGTAGTTAAGCCAAATGATATCACTTTCATTGCCGTCCTTTCTGCTTGTAGACATGCGGGGTTGGTTGAAATGGGACGCTGGTATTTCAACAACATGGATTCTAGATATGGGATTCAACCGAAAATTGAGCACTATGGGTGCATGATTGATTTACTAGGGCGGGGTGGTTATTTGCAAGAGGCATGGGAACTTGTAAAAGCAATGCCATTCAAAGCAAATGCAGCCATATGGGGATCTCTTCTTGGTGCTTCTAACATGCATGGTAATGCTGAGCTTGGAGAGCGTGCTTTGCAGCATCTAATGGTGTTGGAGCCATATAATAGTGGGAATTATATGCTTTTATCGAATACTTATGCTGCCCTTGATGGCTGGGATGAATCCGGGGTGGTAAGGAAGGTCATGAAGGACATTGGCATTAAGAAGATGCCTGGAGGGAGTTTTATTGAAGTGAATAACAGAGTTCATAAATTCATTGCTGGAGATACATCGCATTCGGAGTTTAATAGGATATTTGAAGTTGCATGTGAGATTTTTTATCAGTTGAAGATGATTGGGAATCTTCAGGAAGAAAGAATTGAGCTTCTTGGGTTTGATGGCTAGATGGGATTTTACAATAATTCAGTTCGCAGAGGTTTATTTTACTGTGCCTCTAAGCCAACTGCATTTTAGTACCGCAGGGTACATTTAGGATAGAACAGTGGATGTGCAGCCTTTGCTTACCGAGCTGAATACCCAATTCTAACCTGCATTGAGATGATTAGTATTTCTATATGTTTACGAAGATGACAAAGCAAGCAAAATGAAGATCATATCATGCTGCGTGGTTTGAGGTCGTGTCACATTATTACATGTGCTACTGAATTTATTATTACATCTCAGTTGTGACAGGAGCTTCGCTAGATCAATATAGTGGTTCAAGCATTTAGTAGCAAGTAGGTATCTTCTTCCAAAGCTTCATTTTTTAACTGCCAATTCGTTTAAACCACACATGCTCACTTCATCCCTTTGCTACCATGAATGCCTCACATATTGACTTGCACAAATCTTTTACTTTGTACATTGTTTATTTTGCAAGTAGAACCAGTTGCAAATGAAATATCTGGAGAACGTCATATTGTATTTTTGTTTAATGTACTATATGACCCTAGTTACGCAAAACTTAAAATGATTGATTCTACAACAAGGGCACATCTGTTTAGCTCTCGTATGATAAGTTATTTATTTTCTGGAAGCCTTTGCCACCTAGGAAATGCAAGTCGTGCAGCACAAAGCTAGTGTCATCTGTACATGAACATTACTAATAGAGAAACAAAAAGAAATTGGGAGTTAACATGTATCCAAAGAAAAGCCATGCCCAAAACATAATACTAAATCCATAGTAGGGCTCTTTCCCTCAAAAAAAAGAGAATGAAAAGAATGAGGAAAACTACCCAGTACCTACCTTAATTTTCCCATGCCAAGAATCTGACATCTCATATATGGATAACAAAAACATTAAACCCTGCCAATCCAGTTAACCAACTTCCGTAGTACTACCTTTATCTTTCAATGCTATTAATTTCTTCTGTAATAACTAAATCAAGAAGTGGCTGCTAACATAGATTAGCTGTAATTCCACACCTGACTCCACCATAAGGTAAAAGAGTTCTAAATCCCCCACCCCTAAATTCAAAAAAACTAAATCACGAAAACATAGAACATTGGCTTCAAACCTTCATGGTGTCCTTCTATTTATTCCTCCTCTTTTTTTATTTCTTTCTTTGTTCTTTTTATAGAACTTCAGTTTCTTATCAAAGGAAAAAAAAAAAAAAAAGAAAGAAGAAGAAGACTTTTATAATCCTGCACCATGTACCAATCTCCCTAATTTGGCAAAACCAATTCTGACACCAATACCATACTTCCTCTTTCAATGACATTAATGTCCTGTAAAGATACAGGTTTTATCAGTGGCAGCATGCTTAATTTTCTTTTTCACTACCACTAATTCATAAATAACTTCATTTAGCTCATGCTGCTATAGAAACCAGAATCCATTCATGTTTTAGTAGAAAAATTGACATCAAATTTGATTAACTTTTAAGATCTTGAAGATGCATTATGGTTATTATCCAATGAATTAGTTATGAACCTTATATAGGTTTTATCAGTGGCAGCATGCTTAATTTTCTTTTTCACTACCACTAATTCATAAATAACTTCATTTAGCTCATGCTGCTATAGAAACCAGAATCCATTCATGTTTTAGTAGAAAAATTGACATCAAATTTGATTAACTTTTAAGATCTTGAAGATGCATTATGGTTATTATCCAATGAATTAGTTATGAACCTTATATAAAAAAAAAAAAAACCCTTCTTACAATGCTTTTGATAAGATTAGCTAATGTTCCATTTGTGTACTGTTCATGTTATTAGGAAATGTTTCTATATAAAGAGTGTTCTTATAAAAAACAAAAAACAAAAAAAAGAGAATAAGATAATGAAAAGAGTGGTTGATTTGCTTAGTCGTTCTAAAGTGTTTAGTGAGTCATTTTTAACTTTACAGGAAACAAAGTTTTGTTTACATCTAACCTAGATTCAAAAGCGTTTCCAACATTCAAAAGCGTTTCCAACATTCTCAGTCTGGACCAGAAAAAGATGGGATTCCTTTGCGTATTTGATATGTACAAAATTGAAAATTCTATTAAATAATCAAAATTTTAATTAGCTTACTGCTTATGGATCTGAAAATAGATTAGTGTATAAACAACAACACGGTCAACTTAGTTGTTCTCGTGGAACATCCAACGGTCTGAACATTCACTTGTTGCTTCACAGACCGTCCCAGCCATAGTAGTTGGTATGGAGCTTTATGAAGACATTTGGATATGTCAAATGAAGACATCTTCATAATTCCGTGTCATCGCTCATGCGTACATGAATAGAGAATTGCTATAAAAGAATTGCTATGCTTTGTATTTAAGGTTGCCACATGGAATATTGGTTCAATATGTACTCCTATATTTTCTATATATGACTGGCTCAAGTCCAGTCTCTTGATACCATGGCTTTTCTCAAGGAAGTTTCCATAGGTTTCTCTCTGGAACTGCTTCAAAGGATCAGACCTTGAAAAAATTCATCCTCAAGTCCCAGATTTTGAAACCCTAGTGCTAGAAGAGCACTAGCCCCAAAAATATGAACTTTCCCCATAAGAAGTTGACATATTCCTGTTAAGAATGGAACAAGAGAACAATGTCAGATCACGAATTAATGAGATATCCAAACAGATTAGTTGTTTGTTGAAGCTTCTTATTTATTTATTTTTTAAAAAAACCTTGAAGCTATTCATAGTGGGGAGAAAAAGATCAGCAAACAAGATTTAGTTTTAGTTATATAACTTTTTTTTCTTACCTGAGTTCTCCGTATTTTCTTGTGACTTCACCAATGTCATGAGTGGTTCCGTTGGATTTTCGTGGCCCAGAAATAAGGCTCTCTGAGTACTAATATTATGTATACCAGGTCTGAACCCAATTCCAGAGCACTGATCCACTGTGTCCGCATCTTCATTTTCACTGTCGTCCATACCTATCTCTGAGCCTGAATCTTCTTTTGTGTCAAACATACTATGGGCTACTTTGAAGGGAGATAATTCACACTGCTCGTTGTCTGGGGGCATACCATCTGAGAGCGAAAATTCAGAAAATGCATTGTTGTCTTGAGAGATACTATCTGTACATTGCTTTCTTGCTTTTTCTTCCTGCATTACAAATATTTTATTCACCTGGTTACCATCTTGGTCCAGATTTAAACTAGTGCACCAAATCTCAGGTGGAGAAGAAGAGCCACAATTATTTTCCTCCGGTAACCCGTTATCAATCAAACTCCCTTTGCACAGTATTGTCTCTTCATCAAATTTATCCAATGAACATATCAAGCCGCAACTTGAGTCCCTATTGATAAAACCATCTATGTGACTCTCTATGTCATGTTTGGACCTCCCAAATCCCGCAATGACAGCACAATTTTCAAGTTTTTCATTATCAACAATCTTCTTCTTTGTAACTGTGTACTTATTATCATTTCCATTTGGTAAATCGTCCTCTTTTTCGTTCTTATTTGTTTGTTTCTTTTCTGGGATAGGAATTGCTAGAACCCGTTTACTCTTATGGGAAAAATTACTGAGAGTAGTAGTAGGTTCACTCTTGTGTAGACGTAGCCAATTGTCCACCTTCAGTAAGTTTGTGGAACTAGAACTAGTTTTCTTTCCTTTTCCATGTCTGTCACTGTTGGCAGGATTATCTCTTTTCTGAACTGGACTCTTTGATGTCGTTTCCTGTTCTGAGAATATTACATTTTTTATCTCACATTCAGTTGCATCTTGACTGTACTCTGTTTCATCGTCTGCATTACTTTCCACATTCAAATCCACTAAACAACTATTTCTGGAGATACTGCATTCAGAATTTTTTTCTGATGTACGCTTTACAGGGAAATTCACGGACTCAGCACGATGAGACGATGCCCTTCTCCTTGTGGGGAATTTGACTTTCACTTGGTAGGTCTGATAATCTGCTCCAGATTTTCCTCTGCTGCAAACAGTAGGTTTCATAAATCTTGGTATCCGTGACAAGGAAGCTGCTGTGACCTCTGCAGTCTTGCTCGTTCTTTCAAGAATGCGTTGGTTAAATTTAGTCAATAAATGGGAAGGATCCAGTTGCTCATTTGAAGATAGAGCTGTCCCTGTTAGTCTTTCTAATTCTTCATTTAACTTCGTGATGTTTCTTTTAACATCTTGACGCTTATCTTCAATTGTTTTCATTTCTTGTTGCAGGTTTGTTATTGCCATTTCCCTCTGCTTTCTTTCTTCCTGATATTCGATATTTCAATCTACTGGTCAGAGACTGGAATTTGTGAAGTTCAGAAAATTATTATTTCAGACGGAGATCACACTTCTAGAAGCCTAACTAGGTAATAAATTGTGTTTCCTGGAATAGTTCACTAACTAATGCTCTTTATTTATTTTAGTTTATTGTTGCAATAATTTGCTTAGTATATTGCAGGCTATCTCAACGCTTTCTTACTATGTGCATAAAGAAATATCTAATGTCAATGTAATATCTTAAAGAACAACTAATGTCAATGTAATATCTTGAAACTGTATGAGGTCTATATTAGAGATAATGTTTAGACTAAATCAGTAACAACGAGACGATGGTCGACTAGTGTCTAACATCTTTGGTTCATGAATTAGTGGTGTATGTTTGCCAGGTTTTTGTAGCTACTTCTTTTGTTTCAGATATTTGTTGCATTTCTTGTTCAAACTTATGAGATTTAAATCTACTTTTTAAATGGCAATTTGGCTGAAACATTTCCCAAGTGCATCAGTTTTGAATCTTTGAGCATCCTCATCAATGACACGGCGACCAACTTACACTAGTCACTCCCTTTTCAATACTATGGATCTTTAAAAGTTGATTTATTGTAGATTTATTTGAAATTCAAACATGCTATGAGTTTTATATGCAATGAGTATCTAAAATGTAATGTATGATGTCACTGCTAAACAGATTTTGGTGGATTAGTTGCTCTGTATTTAAAATATTATGAAATATTATGGAAACATACAAGAATTGATTTTGGTGTGCATAACTATGTAAAGAAAATGGACGCAGTAAAAGTTATACCGAAATATTGACTATCTTATTCATTTTAGATGTAAAATTTATAGTAATTTTTTGTGGAGATAAAGGAAGTAGAGAAGGATAATGTAATCAATAGTATTGATCAATAGTGGACTCAAAGGAGCGAAGGGTTTACAATAGGGCAAGATTGGCAGTTAGGGAAGTGTTGGAGTCAAATTCTTTTTAACCCCAAATTAACTAATTTGATCTTTCTCTCACTAAACCTCTTCTTTTTCTCTCTCTAAACTGATAGAATTTCAGTAATTTCGAATTGCGAAATAGGTCCCTTTGCCTTTGTGCTTTCCCTATTTATAGATTCCTCCCAAGATCTAGTTTTCTGCTTCATTTATTGCCTACATCATCTCTACACTTCTAATCTTTGATTCTAAAGATTCATTTTCCACGCCAGCTTCATTCTATTCTGAAGATTCACCGTTCTCCTTTATAAACAACCCTTAAACGCCATCATTTCTTCTTTTGTTAAACGATTTCGTTTTGGGCTAACTAATATTTTTCCCCACAGGACTCTTTCCCTGACTGATGTGAGGGTTTTTTTTTGGGGGGCTGGGGGAAGTCGTATTCCTTCATTAGAACCATCTGTTTGCGATTTATGGAAACTATTGCTTCCATATGTTTTTAGAAACGTAAGGAAACAAATTAGATAGACTAGAAAGAAGTAGAAAATGCGTTTTCTCAAAGCTATTTTCTGTGCTGTGATGTTTGTAATTGTTACTGTTCATATTGAATCTCTCATTACTAAGCACATGAATTTTATAATAAAGTGGGAAAGAGATGGAAATAACTACTTTGAATAAAATGACGAATGGTGCAACAATAATAGCAAGGAAGGTGCCTGATTGCCAAATAGAGGCAATCAAGTGAAATATGTACCCTTTCCTTTTTTAAATTTACTTTCGTGTTTTTCCGGTGGTTGAAGGCGAGTTGGGCGACTAGGCTCCATCTCTGGAGGTGTCAGACGGCGGCGCTGCTGATCCATTGGCTCATGGTGGCGAACGTTGGCCAGACGTGGTCCGACGAATAAGGGCAGCGACAAGGGAGAATTTGGGCGTGAGAAGAGATATAAGAGAGAGAGAGAGACATCTAGAAGATAGTGTGGGCTGTAACATTTCCTTTTTGTTCCCATTGACATGCACTCAAACACAAAACCTACGAACACTGCCCCCTTTTTTTTTTTTCCTGATCTGGGCTTAATTTTTATATCATATACCCCCAACTCTTTTGCCCACTTTGTAAGTCTTCCAGAGAAATCCGGCTTTGATGATACCGCCTTCAACAACTAATTTGTCAACAGTGTTACCGCGTGGGTTTCAAAATAATGCATCAGTTTTCTTTTCGCATTGACTAAGGCCACGACAACTTTCTTCATTGTCCCATATTTTCACTTTGCCTCTGTTATCATTCTATTGATGTGGAAAATTGGCATTTGTTAACCGTTATCTTCTCAGAGCAAAACTCTGCTGATCACTACTTCAGAATTAGCCAAATATAGGAATAATTCCTCCCCCTCTTTTGGAGCTGAGAGTATTGGTGGGGTTGTCAAATACTCCTTTATTTTCTCTACAGATTCATCTTGCTCTTGTCCCCACTCCACTTCGTTGGTTTTCTTCATGCTTTGTAAGAATGGCTTGCATTTGGTTCAACATTTTTGAGACAAACCTACTCAAAGCCATCAATTTTCCAACTTATGATTGCATGTCCTTCATTGTCTCTGGCCTTTTGACTCCCATTATTTTCTTGATATGTGTTGGATTTACTTCTATCCCTCTTCTGCTCACCACATGGCCTAGAAATTGCTTAGGTAAAACTCCAAATGCCCATTTTGTTGGATTTAGTTTCATTCTGAACTTCCATAGCATATCAAAAGCTTCTCCCAGGTCCTTCATATGTTCTTCTTTCTTGTTACTTTTAATTACCACGTCAACAATGTAAACTTCCATGGTTTTTCCGATTTTTTATTTAAACATTTTGTCCACCAATCGCTGATATGTTGATCCAGCATTCTTCAATCCCAAAGGCATAACAATATAACAGAACAACTCTTGCTCAATCACAAACGCAGTCTTCTCTTGATCATCCTTGCTCATCTTGATCTGATTATAACCGGAATAGGCATCCAGAAAAGTTGGCCTCTTATAACCAATGGTTGCATCAACCATTTGATCAATCTATGGCAATGCGTAACCGTCTTTCGGACATGCCTGATTTAAGTTTGTGAATCTATAATACACGTCACTTGTCATTCTTCTTCTGCACTAGGACAATGTTCGAAATCCAATCTGGATACTGAACTTCCCTTATCATTCCAATTCTCAACAGATTTCCAACCTCTGTTGCGATGATCTCGTTATGCTCTGGAGCAAACCTTTGCTGTTTCTGTTTCATGGGCTTTATTGTCGACCTTGACGTTCAAATAGTGCACAGACTCTTCCAGATCAATTTCCACCATATCTTCATGACTCCATGCAAAGCAATCTTTATTAGTTCTCAAGAATTAAATCAAGTCTTCTCTTCCTACTCCCGTCGGGAGGTTACTCACTAGCACCGTTTTTTCTAGTTCTTCAGAATTGATTATCACTTAGTCCAATTCTTCTATTGTCATCACACGTTCTTTTTCCTTCTCTTTTCGAATTTCTACCAGTGGGCCCTCCTTTGATTGCTATTTTGCTTTCCCCTCTTCTTTAACATATTTTCCTTTTTCCCCATCATCCATCACGATATTGTAACAAGTTTGAGCCATAGACTGGTCTTCTCGGATGTCCACCGTTCTGGTTCCATCAGCCGATAAGCAACGCATTACTTGATGCATAGTGGAAGCCACTCCTTACATTATGTGGATCCGTCCTGTGCCCATTATTGCGTTGTATCCAGACTTTGAATCTACCACTAAAAATTTTACATTTAGCACTTTATCTACAGCATGGACTTCCAACGTGACTAACCCCTTTGGCTTTATTCTACTACCTTCGAAGCCCACCAATGGCACTCCACTAGGTTTTATCATTCAATCACTTAGCCACATTCTTTTAAATGCTAAGTAAAACAACACATCGGCGTTGCTTCCACCATCTATCAATACCCGCTCAACATCACAATCATGAATCCAGAGCGTCACCACCAAGGGTTTGTCATATGGTATTCTAACTTGAGCCAAATCTTCCGAACACTATCTTCTTTCTTCTTAAATCTGCCAGGTCAATTTTGCATACCTCCCTCAAGCACTCCCCATGCCTTTTCTTATCATAGAGGCCAAATCTGTGTTTTTCTTCACTTTCTTCTCTGCCATGAATTGCAGAAATTACTCGAACATCTGCTTTGGCTTGTTCTGGAATTGGATTTTTTTTCTAACTCCAAGTTAGCTGAATTCTGGACGTACTTCTATGACTGCCCTTGCCTCATCATCGCCTGAATTTGTCCCCTCAAACTCCCACATTTTGCTGTTGTTGGCTGTGGTCATTATACAGTTCACATATTTTCATCCTGTTTCTTTCCTCTGGGTCAGACTATATAGGCCTCAGAGGTCTGAAGATTTCCAAGTGTTGGTTTTGCTAGAATATCTGCTTCGGAGTAGCGTTTAACGGAACTTCATCTCTTATGGGATAAGGCTTAAATCTTTTGTTCCACCTATCCCCTTCAATCTGGCTAACTCTTCTTCTATCTTCAAAGGTGGAGTTTTCAGTCTGCCTTTCCATGCAACCTGTTGTCCTATGGTCTTCTTACTGGCACGAACCTTTCTCATTGTCTAACCTCACCAGTGTTAGAGTCAATGATTCTACTTTTAGTTTTGTTCATAACCGGCCTCCTCTGCTTGTATACTCATTTCGGCTTCATAAACGACATCCGCCATGCTCCTTTGCTTTTCTCTTGTTAAAATCTCATGGAGCTCATGTTCTCGCAATAATCCATATCTGAACATCATCGGAACGAGTTTATCATCTAATGCTCGCATTGATTCAACTCATGTGTGAATTTGTCCAAATATGCCTTTAAACTTTCTCCAATTTTCATCTTAACGTTCATCAAGTCCGCCATAGTTTTCTTCTCTTTACTGTTATAGTGAAATTGCATCACAAACTTGTCTGCTAGCTTACTGAAATTACTGATGGATGCCAGTTCCAGTTGGTTAAACCAGGTTGCATATGTTCCCGCCAACATTCGTAGGAATACTTTGCAAAGCAGATTCTCGTTTATGGTTTCCAAAATCATCACTTGTTGAATTGAGACAAGAGATCCAACTAGATCTGTTTTTCCTTAATATGCTTTCATCTTTGGCACCAAAAACTTCTCAAGCTTTGGCTCATTTAAGATTTTATCAGTGAAAGGTGACTTTGCCATTCTTTTAGCTTCTCGAATTGCCAGTTTTGCCGGTGTCAGTCTTTTTATTTCTCTAATTTGGCCTTTAGACAATCCTTCACTTTCTTCAGTATGTCTTCATAATCTTGAATAGTGAACTTCGCCTTCAGACTTGCGACTGGGGGTTTTGTGGGAACGGATTCTTCAATTCGGCGCTTTTCACTCTTCTCTTTTCTCCCCTGTCACTGCCCTTCTTCGCAGGACCAGCTTCGGCTGCCATTTGCCACCAAGAGCCGATGGATTAGCAGTGCCGCCGCCCAACACCTCCGGAGTTGGAGCCCAGTCGCCACACTCACCTTCAATTATTGGAAAAACGCGACAATAAAATTTTGCAATAGGAAAAGGTACATATTTCACTTGATTGTGTCAATTTGGCAATTAGGCGCCTTCTTAGGCACCTTCCTCGCTATTATTGTTGCACCATTCGTTAATTTGTTCAAAATAGTTATTTCGATCTCTTTCCTGCTTTATTATGAATTCCTGTACTTAGTAATGAGAGATTCAATATAATAGTAAGAATTACAAACATTATAGCAAAGAAAATGGCTTTGAGAAAACGCCTTTTCTGCCTCTTTCTACCCCATCTAATCAATTTCCTTACGTTTCTAAAAACATTTGGAGCAATGGTTTCCAAAAATTGCTTAGACCTCTGGTTCGGAAAGTCTACGTTAGAAGGGCCAAGAGTGGTAAAGGGATGGGCCCAGGCACAAATGAGATGCTTCAGGATGGGCCAGGCCCAGTGGAGATGGATCAGCCCAGGGGTGGGGACGTAGCCAGCTAGGAGGCCGTTACGGGGAGGCGTGCGAATTGGTTAGGGATGAGTGTTTTAAGGGGAGCATCGGGGAGGGTGAGGGGATGAAGAATTGGGTGCTGGATTGATACTGGGAGGTTGTGGGATTCCTTGAAAATCCCTCTCTATCTTACTTCTTTCATGCATTTCCTTTTTGTAATTCTTCCTGTAATTTCTTCCATTTCTGAAGTTCAAGAGCTACGATTGAAGCTCCTTGTTGCTGGAGAAATAGTTTGAATTCAATAAAAAGGACTTCTAGCCAATTGTCGTCTACTAATTGCTAGCTAACCGTATCAGTAGGGGCTAGGATCCTAACAAATTGCAAACAGATCGTTCTAACGAAGCAGTACCAACTCTCCCAGCCCCAAAATAGAACCCTCACATCGGTTAGGGAAGGGGTCCTGTAGGTAAAAATATTAGTTAGCTCGTTTGATAGAAGAAGAAACGAAGACGTTTAAGGGTTGTTATAAAGGAGAGCGGTGATTCTTCAGAATGGAGGAAAGGCTTGCACGGACCGATCAATCTTCAGAATAGAATGAAGCTGACGTGGAAAAATGAATCTTCGGAATCAAGGGTTAGAGGAGTAGAGATGACGTAGGCAATAAATGAAGCACATAACTGGATCTTGGGAGGAATCTGCAAATAGGGGAAGCACAAAGGCAAAGGGATCTTTTTTCGCAATTTGATCTTACTGAAACTCTATCAGTTTATAGATAGAGAGGAAAAAAAAAAAGAGTTTTAGTGAGAGAAAGATCAAATTAGTTGATTTGGAGTTAAAGACAATTTACTCCAACAGGAAGGTTGGGATATAGCATATCGAGGGGCTACTACCAATTGTTCTGGAATGGAGCCTCTGTTTCATATTTGTTTTTGTTTCTCTATTTTTAATTTTTGTATTTGTCTCTTTATTCCATGTAATCTAAAATTCTTATGTTCCGTTGAGACCTGAGAGTGATTAGAAGATCTTATACGAGTTTCATATACGTTAAATGTTTGAATACTTATCGGTTGGTGTTTCTAGACTTTTAGACTTGAACTTTTCAGGGCTTGGCACTTTCTCCTAAACTTCTTTTCCCCCCTTAACAATTTAGTCCCTGAATTTCCAAGAGAGTAACAATTAACTCCAACCATTAATGGGAGTTAAATTTTAGGAATGTCCATGACTAATTCAAGGAATAAATTGCCCCAAAAAAAAAATGGACAAACTATGAAAAAAGGTCAGAGGGCACTGGTGCTAAAAGTTTATAATCATTCCATCTAAAATGTCCCCAGTTAACGATTGGAGTTAATTGCTACTGCTTTGTAAATTCAAGGACTACATTGCCAAGAAAACTTCTATGGATGAAAGTGCCAAATAATGAGAAATTTAGGGATGCAGGTGCTTAAAATCATGTCTTTTTGGCACAAGCCTTCATCCATGTCAATAGAATACTGATCTCATAAATTGTTTGGCCAAAAGAAAAGTCTTATTAATAGGCCAAAATTCTTTTATGCTACCATTGCACGAGTTGCACCTCCTGACACTTTAAATTGTTTATAGTACTTATAGGATTGTTTTTTTTTTTTTTTCACCGGGAAAAAAAAAACACAAAAAAACAAAAAAGGTGGATGCTTTCCAAAAGTTAAGGGGGAAGTGAAAAGAAACAAAGAAATGAAAAGAGAAGAAAACTTATGAGACTGGTAAAAAGAACAGATAGTTATTTGAGAGGTCTATTCAATCTACTTACAGTTGTGTCTGTATTTCCCAAATGAATGCTTCTGACCCTTGTTGCGAAATTCAAAGTGCACACTGTCTCACATAGATCTTCTTCTTTTGGACTTACATGCACTAACATAAGAGTTTTTGAATCCTCTCCTGAAGTTGAAAAATATGTGTGGTCAAGCAAAGAATTCAAGCTTGGCAGTTTCTAAATATATTTTTTAAATGGGAACCACGAGGTATATTTCTTTTCATGAAATGTATCTTCCCATCTCTCTGTAATAATAGTGTTTTCCTGTAATATTTTCCATGGTTGTGTTCAACTATGGAGAAAAGCCATACATGCTTAATTTGCTGTCAAGGAGGAGCCCTAAACGACATGCCCTAAATGACACACCATAAAAGTAATTCCAGAACATTCTAATGCATAGTGTAGATATGGTGCATTTCTCTTGTTAGTCATTTAAGATAAGATGACCGATTATATGTTTTAGGGAGGAAAACTTGTTACCAAGGGAATCTCTAAGAACTTGAGTTAGCTTGCTGTTCCTGTCAAAAGTAAAATAAGATTCTCATTAGGGTTCATTTTGGTGGTAATAAAGAAGCCAAACAATTAGTCCACAGCTACATAAAAATGTAAAAAACTACAAACGAAATCAAATTTGTACTTTTCTGCATATATTGGAATCTTAAAAATAGTTGAAAACTTGTTGGTCTAACTTTGTCAATGATAAAGAAAGTAGGTTAGGAACAAAAGGAAGTTCACAAAATCCCTTTGTTGGGCTCTGGAAACTCATCTTTGTTGTTACAACATCACAATAGTCTACTGGAATTCTGCATATATCTTCTTTATTTGATGAAGGATTATGCTGTAATGACTTACTTCTGGAGAAGGATTCACTTTATTTAAATTTTATGGATTAATGATTCAGTGAGCTGCGCAGTTACCTATAAGGTACATGAAAGTTTTTCTTTTGAAGGGCATGGATGACATCTCCAAGAGCAGAGAGTGACAAGTTGATGGCCTTCCCTTCATCAAGTCTCCTCCCCGAGGCTTTTGTCTTAAGAACACGCTCACTTCCTCCGAGGTCAATGAACCATATTTTATTTGTTTCTCGGCGCCTTTCAGGGGCATCAAAACATGTGATTGATAGGCGGATCATACTGGAAAAGAGAATCAAAAGTCAAAGTCAGAATAAAGAGGCCAGATAGAGGTTTTTCTATTTTTGGTCTTGTATAATGCCAAAATTGAGCTTACAAGGCTTTTTTTAGGAGAACAAATTACCAATGTGATCTGCTTGATGTTAGGTTAGAATTTGTAGAAGCAGTTGATCTAAAACGGCATCCTAATCTATACAGTCTCAAAGCTTGGTTGAAGTCAGTTACTCGAATAGCCAAGAGGTTGTCTATCTCAACCCCTCCCTTTGGATCTGTTTGGATTGAGAGACTGTTCATAAGAATAAAATAATACATTAGAGAGCAGGAAATGCATTTAACAAATAGAAGTTTAGAAGGCAAATGCGCTAATAAATGCGAATGTTAGATCACATAACACAACTTGACTGAACTCTAGTGGTTAAGAATTGTCATTAAACATAGTGAAAATTTGTTCCTATTATATTCTTGTCGTGCAAGTCATGTACAAGCTAAAAGATATATATAGCTCACTTATAAATTTTTATTTCGGTCATCTTTTTTTTTTTCTATTTTTTTATACTCATAAATTTTTGATCGATGCCTACTCTGTGTTTCCAGCACATTCTTTCGCAATTTTGGCTTTTGTCGAGATAAATGGCATCCCACTAGAGGGATGTATTACATATGCAAAATCCAAACGAAGAAATTGGTTCTGGTTATCTTCTAAAGATTTTCAACATCTTCTTTTCTTTTTCCTTTTCATTATTTGAACTAGAAAGTAGTAATTTTCCCCTTTCAAAAGGTCTTATCCCAAGAGAGAGAGAGAGAGAGAGAGAGAGAGATAGATAGAGAGAGAGAGAGAGAATTTCTTAATTGAGGAATGGGGTTATTCTTGGTTTCTTAGATGCAATTTCACATGCATTATGCTCGTGCATGGATGCACACACATCCACGCCCCCTACAGCTGCGTATTTAGCAATGCATAATACGTTAAATGACAGAACAAATAGTGATTACTGGCGTATATAAGCACGCTTTCAAATCTGTTTTTGTGTTTATTCTGTAAATATACACGCATAAAAAAGCGTGTATTTGCATTGGGATAATCCAGAGTCCTCTTTATCTGGTGTAGCCCTAACAGCTTTGACAGTGGTAAACCCATCTTCATACCTTCTTAATGTCAAATGTGAAACTAGTCAATTAAATTAGAGCCTATCTGGGATAATGATGATCAAATATGAGGTGGTTACAAAGTTTAACAATCAATTACCTTAATTGCTCTTTTAGCCAAAAAACAAAAAAAAAAGGGAAGTTACCTTAATTGTTATTTTTATTTGACCAGTTATTTTGTTGTTGGCTTGGATTATTGAAACTGAGTATTTCAAGAATCTTCTATGTAACGTATGTGAGCATGAATGTGCATCTGAATATGTATATAACTGTATACTCACCATGGTGGCATGGGATCCATTGCTTTTGTTGGCTGAGGAACAAGCAAGTCTTTTAGTTTTCCAAGATAAATCTCAAGCATACTGAAACTGAAGATAAATACATGGTTGCTATCCACTGCTTGCTTAAAGATTGCCTCCATTGCACGAGGCACCACTCCGGGGTAATGTGGAGTACCTTCCTACAATATTAGGACAAAAAATAAGTGTAAATAGAATTATAATTGTTGCTTATTTCTGCAATATTTTGTATATTCAGTCGCTTGAGACACATTTTTGAGGTGAGAATGATCAGAACAATCTATCTCTTCTTCTTAGCCCCTTCAATTGGCTGTGTCCGACAAACCCTTTACAAGTTTCTATACTTTAACACTTGGCACGAGTAGTTTCAGCAGCCCAATTTCTTATTTGGGGGTATGAAGGATCCGTGTGAGCCGGCAACTCACCATGGGGATGATTATCTTATAATGATTTCTTGGCATGCATGTGACTAATCCCTTTTTGCATGAGATAATTCTCACCATGGTGAAGCTTTTCCCTGTGCCAGTCTGTCCATATGCAAATATGCATGCATTGTAACCATCCAAGGCCGACTTGATGACTGGCTCGATTTCAGCAAAGACTTCATCTGATATTCAGGCGTCAAATTCTTAGTCAAAACATGGATGATACCTCGTGATGTGTTATCGGCGTGTGATAAATTAGTTGATCGTTTGTGCATCATGAAGAGACCGAATGCATTGGAAATAGAAAGTCTGTAAAAGCACCTTGTGATGAACCTGGGTGGAAAATCTTGTCAAAACTGTAAGTTTTACTCTTGTTCTCAGCTAGTTTCAGAAGAACGTTACTTGAATCCTGAGCTGCAATGGGTCTTAAACGGCCGAAGTTCTCCCCTGTCGCAATTGATCTAATACGACAAAAGACACGAATGTTCCCTGCAATTGAAAATTTTGGTGAGTATATGACTGAATGTCATTGTTTGTTCTGATTGCAATTCTATTCTACAATAGCTTCCTGAAATTTTTCCTTTTCTTTTTTGGACATGAATGATTGAATTTTAATCAGGCTTTTGTATTCCTTTAACATCACGTACTATTTCCGTGCCATAATTTCAATTTAGCACAATATTCAATAAATTCAAGTCGAAGATGACTAACCTCTCAAGTCCATAAACTCGTTCAGGACCTGCTTTCTCTGTGTGTTTAGTTGATTTATGTAAGCAGTTAAAGTGACAAGTTCATCTGTTTATAGAGAATAAAGAAGGTCAATTGATTGAAGATTGCTTTGAGAAGCTTTGGCAAGACTTTGAATTCACGCGGATGCAAATGTGCACAGAATAATGGAGAAACTGCTGATATGAAAGGCAAGGATTTACCTTCAATCTTCGAGATGGCATTACGCAGTTCATCATCTTCCTTCTCTGTGGATTTTTTGGTCGCAACATTAGTCGGTCTAAAGTCGATAGACGATTCTTCAGATGGTACGCTTTTCATTATGTTACAAACAGATTTGGCCCAGTTGGAAGTGAGATGTGATTTCCACCCTAGTAGAGAATGGATTGTTTCAGCAAGTTTGTGAACAGATTTTCTGGTCTCCATGGCTCTAATATTCTGCAGGTGTCATGTACAGCTTTTGTAGTGTATATTCAATGTCTATATCTGCAACTGATCTGTTTACAGAGACAAATCAAGTAATCTGTCAACATATGTCATCTCTCTTTCAGTTACTATACTTTTAGGGACTGATTTTTCACATTGTTGGTGATTTTGGAAGAAAATGCCTAGAGAGCAAGATGGAAAAAAGCATGCTAAAGGTTGTCATAATTTGGTTTATTTTTTGCTGGCTATAACAATTTCTTTATGCATCTTAAAGGCAGAAAGAATGACATAAAACAAACGGGGAAAAAAAAAAAGAAAGGTAAAAACCGCTATAGGGAAGCTTAAAAACACTCAGAATTCTCTGAATTTAGAAAAAGGAAAATTGTTAGAGCTAACTTCTTGAACTTCCACAGTGGGGTCCAATCCATCAAAGAGTAGCTTTTTTGCTGAAATAGTAAAGAGATAAAGAACAGGCTAAAGATCGAAAATAAAAAAGAAAGAAAAACATAAGAACTGAATTCTTGCAAGAAAATGATGCAAAACACGATTTTACAGGAGAATATAATACAAGAGTTTGGCAGAGTTTCAATAAACAAGATACTTGGAGATCCATTAAGAGTGCATAGAAAGGAATACCATGGATTTCCAAAAATCCCATCTCAGCTGAAATGTGCCTCTCACAAGAAACCATCTTGGACCAAGACAACGGTCAAACACTACCACGGCAAGTAGCCATTAACGCATGTATTCAGGCCAAAACCTTTGAATGAACCAATGCCCATTTCAGAGCTTAGGGAGTTTACTAGTATAGCCATGACAACAGAAGCTAGAGAGAGAGAGAGAGAGAGAGAGAGAGAGGACAGAATGGTGGTTTAATGCTCACAAATGGCTCAATGTTAGAGCAAAAGTTTTTGTTCTGTTGCAATACTAGTAGTAGTATAAATATAGAATAGGAAAGAAGAATAATGACTCAAAAACTTTTTTTTTTTTTTTAAATTAAGATTTCTCTAAAAACCCATGTGAAATCATCAAGAGAAACGTCACTACATTCATATGTTATACAGGAAATCATTGTTGGATTCTTGCTTATTGACAAAACACCTCATCCTGCTTTCAGTGCATGAATAAGAGAGAGAAATAGAGAAGTTCCTACTTCCAATATATCAATGAGAGAGAGAGAAGCTGACTTGATAATTATGAAGTGGTGAAAAACAAAGGGGAATTTTTCTGTAGGGTAATAGACATATATATATACATATATATATATATATACATACACATTTCTTCCTCTATTGGTACATTTTTTTTCTATTAGATTAGATTTTTATTAAATCTGTATACTATTTAATTCATGTGTTTGAAGATAATGTGGCATTTTTTGCAAATTATATGTTTAATGTCTCAAATGATATCTAACCAATGACATCATTTAACATATCTAATATTAAAGTATAGAAAAAAAATATCAATTAAAAAGCATTTAAAATTTTTTAAATTATGTGACATAAATATTTAAGACATGAAAATTGGACATATGGTTTTTTTTTAAAATTTTTTTTTACATGTTTCAGAAAAACATCCGAAATTATAAGCATGCCCTACTGTTAAACGAAATCCCAATAATAAATGGAGTAGTCATTTAAAGCTATGTGCCATTAATAGAGTTCACCAACCAAGATATGCCCACATCTTATTTCTCAATTAATATGTCTAAGTTTTCACCTGGGTCCCTCCCGCTTAGTGTTTCTGATGAAGTTTTTTAATGTTTGCAAACTACGCCAACATAGACCAATCAATGGGACACAGAAAATTGAATTCCAACTTACGATGATAACCCACAAAACAATGAAAATAGCATTGTTATCTTAAATGATTTTGCTTTCTTCCATTGAAACACCCAAGTGCACTGATAGGCTACTCTATGATCATAGTACGGCTAACCACTATTTGAATTTGTGTATGATCGTTCATCGAAATCGCAAACCGATAATTTTATGGTCGTGTTTGAAATTGATTTCATTTTTTTCACATTTTTTGAGAAAGAAAAAATAAAAACGTTCTCAAAACTGTGTTTGGCGGAATAAAGATAAAAGACGGAAATAAAAATAATTTTTTAATTTAGTGTAAAATGAGAGAGAAATGAAAAACGACTTTTAGTCGTTTTTCATCTTTTGTTTTTATTTTCTCCTCTCTCGAGTAGAGAGAGAAAGAGAGACATTAATAATTTTTTTGCACTAAAAATAATCTCTTGATAAAACTACCAAATACATTTTTAAAAATGATTTTTGTCTGAGATTGAAAACGTTTTCATTTTCCTTTTCATACAAAAAACAAAATCATTTTAGAACAAGTTCCAAACGGCGCCTATGTCTTGTTCATTTTCCTGATTTGAGTTTTAAATTTTAAATTTTTACAGTTAAAAGCTCTTAAAAAATGTCACATCTAATTTTTTCTGCTACAGTTAAAAACTCTCAGAAAATGTCACATCTTAACTCAAATTAAAAACCTAAATCCGTGAAGTGAACAGGGTCTTAGAATTTTGACATACGAGTTTTCTTTTTTTTTTTCTATTTTTTTTTTCGCTTTTTTGTATCCAACAGGACTTGAAGCAAACAAATAAATAAAAGGACTCTTCACTCACTCACATATAGTTGCTCTTCCAATGGTACTTGTTTTCACGTTGTTAGAATTAGGGCAGTCAATTTTTTAATGATATGAGTGCACACGTTAAAAATTAACAACATGTGACACAAAACGAGACGTTTGGTTCATAGATTAAAATCATGTGATTAGAATCATTTTTTATTTACGTGTATTTTTTGTGAGAGAAAACACTGTAACGAACTATGAACCATGATTCAAATCCTCCAACCAAATATCCTATTTTCAATTAATACATTAATAAATTAATCTAATAGTTAAAACAACAATTTCTAATGTAATAAAAAGTTTTTATCAGCAAAAAAAAAAAAAAAAAGGATACCTCCTATTAGCATTAGTTTAATGAAGTTCAATGATGTTATTCATGTTAATCAATACTTAGCATTAGTTTCGCTATTAAGGACATAATTTTATGAACAACTATTCGAGATATGCCGTATGCATGAAAGATGCCTTTCTGGGGATTTCTAATGGCAGTTTGTACTAGATGCAACGGATAAAAGTTTGTCCAAAACTACATTCAAGTGGAATTATTTAGTACACCAAGCGTATCACGTCATATTGTTTATGTGGTACACCTGTCTAATAAGATTGTACTATTTAAGTTTACGTCAGTTTTTCACTTTTATTTTTCTCTTTCCTAATAGGTATTTGCATTAATTATTGAGTCAAAAGCACTTATTATTCTACTCAATTTCTTTATTTTAATGACTTAATGTCCAAATAATACAATCTCATTAGACGGGTGTACCACGTAAATAATATGACGTGATACACTTAGTGTACTAAATAATTCTTCCAGAAAAGCCAATGGAAGGAAAGTTTTAACAAGAGAAGGCAGACATATAATTGAATAGGGACATATATTTTAATTTTAAAAAGGAATAGAAACAAAGTTCCTTTGGGACTTGCAAATGCAATCTGCATACGAACTCATTCTTCTTTTTTGCCTTTTTTTTTTTTTGTTAATTATTCTTAAAAAATTCAAGAAGTTCAAAATTAGTGACCTAAGAGCTATAAAAAATGTGTTAATTGTAAATCTAACATTTGAGTGTAAAAAATACTTTTTAATACAATGTTATTTATTGTGTCAAATTTGTTATATACTATTTTTGTGGCAAATTTTCCACAAAGTATAGCATATAATATATTTGACATTTAATTATTATTGGTTGAAATGTTTATTTTTTTATGCAATCACTGTAGCTTTTACATTTTCTAATTATTTTAAAAGTAAAATTTTTCTTTACAACTTTCAAAAGCTTAATGATTATAAGAAAAAGTAAATTTAACATTTTAAATAGCATTATGCATTGAAATACAAATAAAACTAACATATCATATCATACTTTTGATACCAAATATACAAATGATATTAACATTTGCATTAGAGATAGTCTAATTTTTTCAAAAAAAAAAAATGTGACCTAATTGTAAGTTGCATAAGTTACATGGTGTTTGCCGCTTAGTAAAAGTGGTATATTCTGTACTAAGCACTTCAGTTCTAATCAATTTCTCAACTTATCTAAATGAAAAAAATAAAAAAATATAAATAAATAAAAAGCCAAATTGGAGGATGACCAACTTTCTATTTTTTACTTTTGAGAGAAAAAATCTTTCTTAGTCCGAACTCTTTTTCTTGATCTATAATCTGGCAAACGGCCAATTTTTTGTGGTCCAATTGACTAAAAAACAAGAAACCAATAAGTAGGCATCCCACACTAGAAAGTAGAAATTAGAAACACAAAAAAGGTGAATAATTAGGTAGGAAAGGTTAAACGTTTTCATTCAAAAAAATAAAATAAAATGCTACAATAATACTTAATTATTTAAAAGAATATAAATAATAAATATGCATAAAATTATGATAAATTATGGCATTGTTTATTTCACCGATTCGAGTTTTGTTACAGTAAAAAGCTTTCAGAAACAGTTATATCTAACTTTTTTGTTATAGTAAAAAAATTTCACATAAAATCACATCTTAACTCAAATTAAAAACGAAAATAGTAGAAAATAAGCCAATATGAAAAGCTTAAGAAAGTATATATGCCAACTTTTAGTTATAGAAATTAATAGGTCATAACTTGTCAAGTTATGGTTTATAATCAGATAAGTTATGGACAAACTTGTCAAGTTATGGTTCATAGCCGGACAAGTTATGGATAAAAATGGACAATAACTTGTCAAGTTATGGTTCATAACCAGACAAGTTATAGACAAAAATAGTAATTTTACCTATTTATTAACTTATGTAAACTATTAACCTATTAATTTTACTTCATCTCAAGTTTAGGCTATTTTTTTTTCTCTCAATTAAAAATTTAAATCAGTGAACTAGACGGATTATTC